ACCTGAGCCAACAAAACTCCAGCCAAAAAGAGTTGCACCAAGGAGAGGATATATGCAATTGGCCCCTGTACCAATGTCAAAGCCCTTTACTTTGCTTCTTCCTTCACCACCCAAACTTTGAACGATCTCAGAGGACAAAAGATCATTGATCCAATTGATGTAATTCGATCTATTAGGAACAGTTGGGCAGAGCTGTCCGTCCGGAATCCACCTAAAAATCCAGAGCATAACATGTAATTCCTTGAGAGAGAGCAAATCTAGAGAGAAACCCAAACTCAATGCAATGAGAAACCCAGTAAGGAATAATTACCAGTTGACGCCATGATCATGTACAAGGAGGATACGAGTGAGCTCACGGGTCGCGTTGTAATCGGTCCAGTCGATTCGGGGTCGAGCACCGGAGAAGAAAAGATAGGGCTTGAAAGAAGGGTAAAGAGACGCCAACAAGGCGAAATCGGGCGGGTTATCGGAGTATTTGTTCCGGGGATGGATAGTGGATCCAGGCTCCGACCTAGCTCTCTTCTTCCCGTTCCGCATCGTCAGATAGTAAACCCTAAGCCGCCGGGGAAGAGGGGCAACGGCGGTGAACTGAAAAGACTACTTCTTTAGCCCAAAATAAAAGCCTCTCGCAGATTTAGCTCCTCTATTGGGTCGCTCGTGGTTTCGAGACAGAACTTCTTTTGGTTTTAAGGCCTTCGAGGATGGGCCTTGCCGCTGGTGCCATTGATCGAAGATGCTCTCTCTGTATCAATTCGTCCGTGCGGATTGGATGTGGTTAACTCGGGTTTGGTTGTGTGTTCATTAATTTGGCTATCCGAGGAAGTAGTAAAGGTTTGATTGGTTTTGTTGTTTCCTTTCAACTATTACTACGGCTAAATCTTCATAGTGGTTGAGAGTAATTTAAAGCTAGTCGACTAGAGTGGAGGAGGATTAACTTGTCTCGTTTTGGTTTGTAGGTTCCTATGTTTGAAGGCCAAGCAAGTCACATGCTACCAGCTGCCAGATTAAAGAGTTTTCGTTTGCTTTAAAGTTTAAACGCGTCTCACGAGCTTTCAAAGTGTTACCCAACTATTTTTTTCCAGGTTCATTGTAAGTTTCAACGTTTTATCGCTATTTGCTAGACGTAGATTATTTCACAACTTTCCGCTTTCAACAAATACTGATTGTTGATTGATCCATA